CCAATCTTGCCCGGTTGAATCGTAATTTGTATTAACCATGGTATAAAATTGTACTGATTGTACAAATTTTCATCCAAAACCTTCACACTAGTTAGTTCTTTTCAAAATAAAGTGATAGAACGCGATCGGAAGCTTTAGGACGACGCAAAATGCAAAAAACATGGTTTTTCCCTATCTCGCTCTGTGATTTTTGCCCGGTTGAGCCGCCATCTTGGATTTTCAAAATATGTCACGCCGGTTGAGCCGAGTCAGCAATCTAGGTCTCCTATATCTATGGTCGGCACCATAGTCGGCACTATGGTCGGCACTAGATCATAGACAAGATACGCACATATCTGAAACTGCAATACATACGAGTCAGCGGTATTCGATATTTAAAATTCAAATAAATTAGTGCGCGAAATTGGGAAAAACGCGCGAAACCAAAGCAATATGGCTTCCATCGAAGAGTATAGCGATAGTGACCGGGTGCTTGTTTGCGCTTCACAAGCAGAAATGCTTGAGAAATTTGAAGAGTACAAAATAAAAACAAGTAGTGGTTGGAGATGTATCAAATTAAACGCAATTTTTGGTACGTGAACTAATTTCAATATGTAAATTTGTCTTATAAATATTCATACGAATACCGTGTGTGCAATATTTATGAAAGATCCAAATTATGCATACATAAAACCTTTATCGATTTACTGCAGTACTACACTCATATAATAATATAGTATGTCTTTATAAAGGTCGAAAGATGCATGTGCTTTAGAATTATATAGTAAAACTCACTGGATAAAAACCTTTCATAAGGGACCACTCATTAATAATGGGAAGAGGGAGGGGGGCGGTGGGTGATAGATACCAAATACTGAACATTTTAGAGCCGCCCCAATCGCAAGACCTTTATTTTTAAGATGCCCCCACCTTAATTTAGAAATTTAGGACCCCCCTCCAACATTTAATATTTGTTACTTAGTTGGTGTAAAATAGGTAATGGGACAAGTACTGGTGTTAAGATATTGTGTAGCCTAAATAATAAGAGGACCAGTATTCAAAATGGTTGTTATTTACTCTGACTCCTATCGTGAACTGTATATACGTAATAAACTATGGAAACTACGATTATAGGAACTAAAAAAGGTGGGATATTTTGTGGGATACGATAAAGGCAAGAGATTGAAAATGAGTAGGAAAGCATTAAAAATTTGGGGTCACCCCTTGTCACATATTTTGAGGACACCCCCAATTCAGGCAAAAATAGTTGAAGCTGCCCCCCTCTTCTCACCCACCGCCCCCCCTCAGTGGCGTAACGCTCACTAGGTAGGGTTAGTTCAAAAACTAAGGGCCCCCGACAGTTAGGGCCACCCATCAGCCACGGCCTATCACCCAGAAAATTAGACTGAAAACGTAAAAAATGCAGGTAATTACGAATCGATGGAAAAATACAAAATTAATAATGCTAAATAATAAACCCTCCATCGACGACGGTATTCCATCTCAAATAGAACAAAAGGTATTCTTAAAAGTTGTTACATGTGTTGGAGACTGTTATTATCATTGTTATAGACACAGAATTTTCCATATTCTACTGATAAATATTCAATTTAAATTTTAGATCTCAGTCAAACAATAACAGTCAACAGGACCCCCACACCAAATATGCCTAAGGGCCCTTCTTCCTCCGTTACGCCACTGGCCCCCCTCCCATTATTAATGACCGGTGGTCCCTAATCATTCATTATATACATTTCATACAATTTCATATTAATATATACATGACTGGCTTTTCAAAATACATCAATAAAACCTGAGAAACAGAAAGTCAGAAACAAGTGCTAACACTACAAATAAATGGTAGAAATACACAACAATGGAAAAAGGCTTTCATTCAATTATCTGCCAGTATGATATTCACATGCCTACTATATGATGTTAAAATGTATCATCTTAGGCCCTGTTTACATGAGCCATGCAGGCTAGCCTGCCTTGCCAGAATAGAAATTGTTATCATATGAGTCAGGATCTTGGCTAACCAAGACACTGAAGACAAGCCTGGCTAACTAGGCCAGCTTGAGTCATCTAATGTCCATTTTATGTACTATATATGCATAATCACTTTATAGTCTGCTATAGCACAACATATTTCAATATTTATTAACCCAATAATTATTAACCCAACAATTTCTAACAATTATTTTATTAATTGACAACAATTATTTTATTAAAATATTGATTATTTTAACAATTATTTTATTAATAACAATTATTTTATTAAAATATTGATTCTCTTCATTGCTGAAATCTAACATTGATCATGTGGCAGTCCCACTTTATGCTTTGTTGCAGGCAAAGAAGCATCCAACTAGCCTTTGACACCCTAGTCTGTTTTTAATGTTGTTAATATTAACTCATTAACTGGCAATGTGAATGTGCCCAAATGTGCCCTACTTAGTATTTACTCTGTCTAATGCCAGACGATTAATTACTCGTCAGTGGTAGAGTACTGCCAGTAAATGGGTTAAAGTGAATGTTAAATATGAATCAAGTTGAAATCGGTTGTAATAACCAACTGATTCATTAACCCATTAAGTTGCAAGACTCCACTTGATGAGTAAAATGATCTAGCGTTAGACAGAGTAAAGATTTATTGTGTTATCTGCCACTGTTGGAAGATCCTTTTCCGTGAACATTTTACTAAAGATTTACTGTGTCATCTGCTGCTGTTGGAAGTTTCTTTTCCTTGAACATTTTACTAAAGATTTGCTGTGTCATCTGCTGCTGTTGGAAGATCCTTTTCCTTGAACATTTTACTAAAAATTTACTGTGTTATTGTGCATAATTTCTAGTAAAATATAAGAAAAATTCAAATGTTGTATTTCCAAAAATATGCACTCAGACTTTGTGGACCCAGGGGGAGGGACAGCTTAATCAAGGCATACAAAAGTTAGATGTACGCAGGGACGAAACTTGAGGGGGGGGGGTATGGGGGAGTGTGACACCCCCCAAAGTACGAATCATCTGGATTGGCAGGACGAATCATCTGGATTGGCAGGGCAATCAAAGATTTTAAATGATAGAATGTAGAGTTATTAAGTAACTTACAGGGATTTATAGACCCACATTTTACAGATATTGGTCCAAAAATAAGGGTTTTACGCATGTTTTAAAAGGAATTTGTACAGAAAAAATTTTTTGACCCTTAATTTGACTGGTTTATGTCCGGAAACATTTTTTCAACCTATCTCCCCCCCCCCGGCTCGTTTTTGGGAGAGATAGTGGCCCAAAAAAAATTTGCTGCAGGGCATCATCGGCTTTTGCAGGGAAATTCTAGCAGACACCCCTTAATTAAAATGGGCTAGTTTCGCCCCTGGATGTACAGGGGGGGGGGCAACATTTTCTGAGAGGGGTCCCCCCAGCTCTGGCTAGGTTACTGTATAGTATTCCCTAAAGCAATAAAATATTAATATTTCTAACTAATAATTATTACTAATTATTAGTAAATATTTATTATTTATGTTGCTCTAATAGTCAATTAGCCAAGCCGGACTACATGATTCAAATCCTAATGGGCCAATTGCAAAAGGCAGATTAAAAGAGTGACTAACAGACTAAACAGTGATGCGACCATAGTTGGGTTTCAATCTGAATCATGTGACACTTTAGCGCACTTGGTGGTCAACTCCAAAAGGAAACACAGTTATTGAATTGAATTCATTATTCATAATTCATTATATTAATTCACCTTGTATTCAATAATCAATAGCAAATACAGAACATTTAACAAAATTTGCTCGCTTCCACAAGGCATATATAAAAGCGACAAACGTGCAAAGTTGACCACCATGTGTTTTCCTATGAATATGTCACTATTATTAAATACTATGCCACATGTGGGCTATATTTTTCCCTTGGAAAATTCCCTTTAAAATGATTTTTAAATTAACCCCAAATAGGTAATAAAAGTAAATATATATTTCGCTTTACACATACCTACTTATCGATATAACAATCTTTAAATCTCCATTTGTAATGATTTGTTTATTTGTAATGCATCATTTGTAAATGTAATGATGTCTTTATTGCGTTTATATAAAGTTTACTGCACTTGAAATACCGCTGACTCGTATGTATTGCAGTTTCAGATATGTGCGTATCTTGTCTATGATCTAGTGCCCATAGAGATTATAAATAACACTAGAGGAGGCATTGTAATCTTAATTCAGTAAAAAAAAGGGAACGCGACTATTGGGGGGCAAATTCAAGTCCCGGATGTGTATTCGTGTTCCCATTGGTGACGAGTTTCAAATCAGCCAATGAGAGCACGATTTTATATCCGGGACTTGAATTTGCCCCCCATTAGCTGCGTTCCCAATTTTTAAACTCGATGCCTCCTCTAGTGTTATTTATAATCTCTATGCTAGTGCCGACCCAGATTTTTGGGATATCAAGTGCTCCATGTGATCTTAATTATCCCCTAGAGTCTGTAAATTGATCGCATATGATCCTTTATTATCACATGCTGTGATATATCTGTGATACACAAAGTATCTACATTTTTCCGCTGGTTGGCGCTGCCAAAAATTTCTTGTCGCGATTTCAACCCCCCTGATTTTCAGTGAACGATTATTTTTGACCGGGGGGTGTCGGAAGAAAAATTTAACATTTAGAAAAAAACACTGTTTCGAAACTGAAGTAAACTACTGAAGCGATTTAAAACCTCGTGATTCAATGGAGAAGTTTCAAATTACACACTTCCTGGACAAAATTTTTTTATTGAGAAGCGCTATGAGTAATCAATGTCAAGGTCTGAAAGAATGCTAAACGATATGAGTGCAGAGACATCGTCCTTACTACGGAGCAAGAAAGATGTGAGTATGAAAGGGAGTAGATTTGAAGTGGAAAATATTGTCTGGCATTTGGTTACTAGTTATGCATGAACCTATCAAAGTTTAATGAATATATGAAACAAAGCTTAACAGATCCTGGTTCAATGTATTATTGCATGTTACTAAGAGAGAGTTCATTTGCATGTAACAATTCTTTGATCTTTTGGCTCTGTTATGTATGATTCGATAGGTAGGTAAGGTTTACATAGGCATACTTTCTCAGAATCTTGTATTGTGACAGTCACATGAAAATGAAGTAGGAAACAATAATAGCGACCTTAAGCATGTAGGATGGGAACGTGACGGTGACGGCAAACAAACTTGTTGAACCAAATGATTACAGAAGAAAAGCTGTCGTCTATTATCCATCGTATGAAAATAATACAGTTTAATGATCAAAATTAACACAGGGTTTATAAATGAAAAAAGTTCAGGACCCAATTTAAAATAGCAGTGCTCCCAGCTTGAAATGTAAGCGTTGTATACAAGATGTGATAATCTGTATTTTGCAGTTGTAAAACAGAGCTACGGCGACATCTAAAACGTCCGTGTGATTTCAATTATTAATTTCTGCTCATTTTCTTGCATTGATATGATATTATTAGCTGTTCTCGTTGCACTTTCATTCTGCTTTGTTGAAGTTCTAATAACGGTAGTTCTTTATAATTATAAAAGTGTAAAATTGAAGGCGGTTTCTTGATTAAGCTTTGCTATATATGTCCAATATACAACCATCTGACACATTTCGACCATCATACGTACACCATCTGTACCATCTTCACCATCTGACAACCCTTCCCTGTATAACCACCTTACACCATCTGACAACCATCTGACACATTTCAACCATCATACACCTTCATACACCATCTGACAACCATCTGACACATTTGGACCATCATACACCATCTGACAACCCTTCCCTGTACCACCACCCTACACCATTATACACCATCTGTCAACCATCTGACACACTTCGACCATCATACACCATCAGACATCAGATGCCTGTATTGGACATTAATAATAATAATAATTTAATAATTTATATTGTGCTTTTTACATACAATGATCAAAAGCGCATTACAATACACTCTATTATACATGCATATTTGCTTAAGTTCTCTTACTAATGAAATGACATGGCGACGTTCTCAAGCAACAATATCACCTATTTTGACAATGAAACAACAAAACATAAAGAAAGTTAATACTGGCCCCAATATATTAACATTCATTCAGAGCTGGTTGTTCAGAACCAATTATCTTAACCTAAAATCTAAAGCAAACTGCCCAACAGCTTGTGTATAATATTACTTCAGAAATCTTGTCTGGATCAGTAGGAGTTTTCTTCTCTGAAGTTTTGAAAATGGTCATTCCAGAAAACATCCATACCTCCCCCACTGAGGAAATTGGAAGTTAACCCCCCTACCCTCTTTGGATGTCCTAATACACTTACTATTATCAGAAACAATTCTTCCTCTCCGGACAGCAGAAATTTCCTCTGTTGGGGGGTGCATCTTTTCTGGAACGACCCAATAAACAGACATGCACAAAAACAAAAACAGCAGGTTAAAATTTAACCGAGGGTTTGCACCAATCCAGCTTTGAACAATCAGCCCTGATCAATTATTTTTCTAATTCTTAAAACAAACTGAATACCAATTGATGTAAATTTCCATTTTTGACTCACAGATATTGCGAAGCGACATCTGTGAGTCTTTGTGGTTACGTGTGGGGTGAGTGTGGGGCAGTTAAACAAATGAATGGAAAATGACCAGCCTGCTTTGCACACACTGTTTGCCTGCGAATTGGGCCTTTCAGAACCAGAAATCAGGCTTGGAGCATGCATTTCAGGGTTCAAAATAGCTGCCGGCTTCCAGCGATAGCCGGCAGTTTTAGGACCTTGCAGGCGATTTTTAATGTCAAAGCATAGAGGATCGACGAAAATATTATATTAATAACTTGTTAATGTTTGTTCCTACACCAAATAAAATGTATTACTGCATTCTTACTGCATTCTTACAGATTGGTTTACATCACTATTATTTGGCCTTAGTATGCCCACTCCAGAACATAACTAAACTTCGCTTGGAAAATAGCCAGCAAAAATTTTCACCTACCGGTACAAAAAACAGCCTATAAAATTTGACATATTTTGGGAACGTTATTTCGAACCCTGCATTTGTTCTTTTGATTTGGCAAAAGAAGCACGACAAATAGGTGAATGGCAAAATTTGCGTGGTGGCCAGTTTGCAAAAACAACTCAATCTACTGCAACTGCTCTTATTCTTTCTGTCACTTTTATTTGATCTTATCTGTGAGTCGGCCTCAACAGCCTTTGATTACTCTTGCCAGGTGTCCTTCTACTCTGGTTCTATGGGTTCAACTAGTTCTATCTCAACCACAAAACAGAGGAAGATAAAGCCAGGAAGATTACAAACTGTATTTTCCAAATATGAGGTTTGTTGGTTGCATGAAGTTAATATGTAAATTGTATTTTACCATCAATTAGGGCAGGTTTTTTTTTCAGGGATTTTTTAGGGCTGTTAAACGGCCCCAAAAACTCAATCTTGAATTGAGTTTTGAAACTCAATCTTCTCACCAAAGTTTCAGTGCAGTAAAAATGAAGTTGTTTGAGTTAAATTTGTGATGTGTGGAAATTAGTTTTCAGTTGGAAACCCGACAATTAAGAAAAAATGGCTGGAATTCATCTCACAACACAAGAAAAACTATGCATTCACCATCTTTAACCAGTTTATAGTGTCCCTTAGTGCCCCTGCTTTAACACATTCCGTCTGGTGCAGCCACCCCAGCTGTTCTTTGCAAAAACGGACCGAAGAGAAAATCCTGGAAAAAAAACCTGAATTAGGGGTGCACCAGAACTCGATTCCTGCCAGTTAGTTCTGGCTGAAACCTTATTTTTTAGGGATGACCCTTACTGTACCTGTAGGGAGAACAGTTTAGAACTGATAGAGGTATCCAGTATAAATAAAGTTTAGTTTAGGTTTCCTCCTGTAGTAACACTGGATCAATAAGAGATGATCCTTACTGGACCTCTAGGAAGAACAGTTTAGAACTGATAGAGCTATCCAGTATAAATAAAGTTAGTTTACTTTAGTTTTCCTCCTGTAGTAACACTAGATCAATAAGAGATGATCCTTACTGGACCTCTAGGGAGAACAGTTTAGAACTGATAGAGCTATCCTGTATAAATAAAGTTATTTTAGTTTAGGTTTCCTCCTGTAGTAACACTGGATCAATAAGAGATGATCCTTACTGGACCTCTAGGAAGAACAGTTTAGAACTGATAGAGCTATCCAGTATAAATAAAGTTAGTTTACTTTAGTTTTCCTCCTGTAGTAACACTAGATCAATAAGAGATGATCCTTACTGGACCTCTAGGGAGAACAGTTTAGAACTGATAGAGCTATCCAGTATAAATAAAGTTAGTTTAGTTTAGGTTTCCTCCTGTAGTAACACTGGACAATAAGAGATGTCACTCTTGCTGGACCTCTAGGAAGAACAGTTTAGAACTGATAGAATTATCCAGTATATAAATTAAAATGTAATTTGCAAAGAATTGTTCTGTTCATTATACACAAGCATGAATCATTATATTCTCTTAGAGTCTTGATTATGAAGTCCCTGAGAATGAACTTTACATTGAAGAGTATAAAGCCAGTACACCTAAGGTATTGTTTTTACTTCTGAATAAATGTATGCGTGCCTTAGTTAGGGAAAGTGTTGCATTATAATGGCTGGTTTAACATTACAGAGTTTAACCCATGAAGTTGCATGGAGCCCCGGCCGCCAATGTGCCCTACTTTATGCCAGACAATTTTACTCATCAAGGGGAGAGCGTACCAGCTCATTATGGCTTACTGTAACATAATTCGGTAAACTTGGTCTCACTGACAATATGTCAAGCCAGCCTATGATTTAGTCAGACAGGATTGGAGATGAATTATTATATTAAGATCTTGACAGAAAAAAGTTGTACAGTACATTGGAAAATGAGGATGAAATTATGCAAATTAATGTGGCAAAGCGATCAGCTTTAATGTAGATGTAGAACGATCATTGGACTACAACATAAGCATTTTGCTTGGGAAAATTGGCCAATGGCCGACTGTTGATATTGCCCACACAATTAGCCCAGCCTAGCAATTCTATACATACTGTATTTGTAGCATCATATCAGAATTGGTATGTCAAGATGGATTGTCATGCTGTTGGTTGGTATCATGACAGCTTTAGTTGCTGTTTTTATTGACATCTGTATTGTAGAACTGTCAACATGGAAATATAGTTGTTTACACGGCTGTATCCTTGTCAATATCCTAAGGAATATTACTATTAAAGTATTGAAAGTAAAATTGTATTTAATTCTTGAAAACCACTTGTGATCACAAATAATACTGTAATATATTGCTGCAATTGCATCAATCTCTCCATGTGTGTCAGTCTTACCCATCAAGTTGCATTACACCCTAACTGATGCGCCCTACTTTAATTTTTTACTCTGTCTAACACCAGACAATAGACAATTCCCATTAACAGTACAAGACTCTCTAGTCCATTAAACAGAGTAATAGCATCAAGTACTGTAGGGCATATTTGGGTACATAGTAGCTTAATGAATAATGGGTTAATATTAACGACAACAATTGTAATTCAACTGAATTTGAAATACTGGAATTTAAATGTTCTGAATGCATTACTAGTCCGGGACAGATGTTGCTACTGTACATACCCTCCCCTTCTCACAAGAGTAACTTTTTTATGATGTTTGTGATGTTACTCTGAGTTTGCATCCACACCGAGCAGGCTGAAAAGTTAGCTTGGCCACGGTAGATCGCGGGTTTGATTCCCACCGTGGCCAAGCTAACTTTTCAGCCTGCTCGGTGTGGATGCAAACTCAGAGTAACATCACAAACATCATCACCTGAGTACATAACACCAACACACACAAAAATAATCATATCATAGAATACACTGATATCGAAGGAACTAGACTTATGTAGTTCCGAAATATCGTCAACTCGAACCAACTTGACCACGTAGCTCAGTGGGAAGAGCATTGGACTAGTATCCCAAAGGTCGCGGGTTCGATTCCCACCATGGCCAAGCAAACTTCTCAGCTTGCCCGGTGTGGATGCACACTCAGAGTAACATCACAAACATCACATTCACCTGAGTACATAACACCAACACACACAAAAAATAATAATCTTGGCATTCCCGGAAAGAGCATACTAAAATGAGTAAAATTGCAAAGTTTGGTTGCGAAATGTTGTAAAATGCGGAAAATATAGCCTTGCAAAGGTTGCCGCAAATTTTGTATACTTTTGTATTGCGTGCGGAAATTCCTACCACATTTGAGCAGAAAATGAGCAATTTCTGCACGCAATACAAAAGTATACAAAATTTTCAAACTTTGCAAGGCTATATTTTCCGTATTTTACAACATTTCGCAACCAAACTTTGCAATTTTACTCATTTTAGTATGCTCTTTCTAGCTGTGGTGATTTATTTGCATCTCCTTGCCTAGTTTTAAAATTAGTCTATAATGGGAATTGCTTATTTAACTTGGCAAGGGGAAAGCGCTGGTGGTCAATGGGTTAATCAGACAATTCTGTCCATGTGTCTAGTTAACCCATTAAGTTGCATTGCACCCTAATGCACCCTACGATTTAACTTGTCAAAGGGAGAGCTCTGGAACTCAATGCATGGGTTAACGTATAATCATAATTATTTATTATATGGCTTTTCAAAATTCTCTATTCTGCATGATTGGTTGACAAGCGGTCCGTAAAAACCCATATCCGGACCGTGGTCCGTATTTTCTGCATCTGGACTGGTGTCCCGGATGTCGTTTATCTGGCGGGAAATTTTTGCTTGGCAAACAGAAAAATTTTTGCTTTTTAATTTTCCAATTGTGTGTCATTAAAATTTACAGATAAAAATTTCAAACAACCAACTAGTTTTTGATTGAGTATGCATGCCTACCATTGTTACCCAGTGAAACTGACGATAGCCGATTTAATTCGAAAAGCATATGCTCACAGACTCAGTTCAGCCATATAATAAACCAATTATTCATGACCTCGCTTGTTCGGTCTGTACTGTGAAATATCAGGCCTCTGTTTTTTGCATGGACCTCGCTCCTTCGTCGCTCGGTCCATACTAAAAAACCTCGGTCTGATATTTCACAGTACAGACCTCACGCTCGATCAATAAGCCGTTAATAATTACAAAAATTATAGTATAGTTATTAAAGTTGTGCCTTCTGTTGTGAACCTTAACATATGGTGAAGATTTTGATCGGTATATTTCAGAAGAAGGAAAAATATTAATTCCATTTTGTCTATGGATTGCCATGGATATGGCAATGGTGGCGTTTGCGGCTTTCTTGGTTTCATATGGAGAGGTGAGTCAAGAAATTTTAAAGACATGAGAGTTTATCATGGTATAACCGATAGTGCTCGTAAACCCACCTGAACTCTCAAATGAGAAAGTTGATTTATAAATTTCTGGACCAACAATAATGTTCTCATTTCTTTGCGTTTTGCTCAAACTGGGCGATTTCATAATATGTTTTCTATGCATTACTTCTTTATGTTTTTTTAGCCTGTTGCGGCCGGAAGTGGTATTCCAGTCATCAAATGTTTTCTGAATGGTGTGAAAATTCCTCATGTTGTCAGATTAAAGGTAGGAGCAAATCTGAGGAATTAGGACAGGGTGGTAGCCAGAAGATTAAAAAATTCCGCAGTTCAATGAAATTAGGAATTTCAGTTAGCCTGCGACATTCAGACCGGAGTTAAGGAATTAGCCATCACAGGGCTGCAAATAAATATTTGACTTGACAGAACATTTCTCCGATCACTTTTAGTTTTGGTCGGACATAACTTGAATTTGGTCGGACAAAAACCAACACCACTAAATTTGGTCGGACATATATAGTATACGTCACAAGATATATATATAAGTCACGAGACAAGTATGTATAGCCATTCCGGCGCAACGTTAAGTAAAATGCTAGAATGCCTCGTAAATTTTATTGCAAAATGCAAATTGAGTGAATTTGCAATCGGATTTTGTCACAGCAAAAAAATGTATGTGACAATTTTTTTTGTGATCGGACCAATGTCCGATCAAAATTACTTTTGCTCGGACATTTGCCAAATTTAGTCGGACATTGTCCGATGTCCGACAGTAATTTACCTCCTGGATGTAGTTGTGCAAATCCCATGTTGGAGGGACAAGAAATATGGCATATCACACATTTAAATTAAAAGTTTAATGTAAAAAGGAGATATTTCATTTTTGGTCTTCCAAAAAGTTGATATTTGATAGTAGATAATTCTACAATAGATACTTCTACTCTTTTACATATTTGACACCTGTTACCATATATTCTGTTCCTCCAAACGATATTGAAATGTTAATGATCGCATTTGTAGTTTTTTTTAAATTTAAATTATCCTCTTACCTTTCTCTGTATTTTCTACAGACTTTGGTGATAAAAGCGGTTGGTGTGATCTTCGCCGTAGCCGGTGGTCTGGCAGTTGGCAAAGAGGGTCCCATGATTCATTCTGGTGCCGTGTTAGCCGCGGGAATCTCTCAGGGAAGGTCCATCTTATTCCGAAAAGATTTCCAACTTTTTGAGAATTTCAGAACAGATCACGAAAAAAGAGATTTCGTCTCTGGTGGAGCAGCGGCCGGCGTCTCGGCTGCTTTTGGAGCACCTGTCGGTAAGCAGACCCGTAAATAATTATTTTGTTTGGAAGGACAAATGTCCGGCCAAGACAAAATCTAATCGGACATTTATCAGTTTCTCTTTCTCTGGATAAAAGAAGATTTTTTAAAAAAAAAATTTTTTCTTTTATTAATAAAAGAAGATTTTCGGTAATAGACCCATTGCACATGACGTCACAGCGCCGGTGACGATGCATCTGGAGGACAAATTAGCAATCCATGCATAATATAACTTTTGTAAACAAAGCAAATTTTGTAAAACTTTATAATAATTTTGTATTAAAATGGTTAGTTTTTGCGCTGTATATGTGGTTGTTGTACCCGAACAGATATTGTTAGGGAGCATCTGGAGGACACTCTAAGGATTTGTGACGTCAGTGCAAAGGGTCTATAAAAGAAGATTTTCGGCATTCGAAAAAAATATGATGACGTCATCATGTGACGTAATATTGGCATGTATATAAATTTGTGTGACGTCATCAGGTCATTCATTTGTATATATATATATATATATATATATATATATATATATATATATATATATATATATATATATATATATATATATATATATATATATATATATATATATATATATATATATATATCATGCAGTGTTAATTTGTTAACAGTTTAGATATTATTGTCCTTGTTAATTGCTTTATTTTGTTATTAAATTGTTAGTGACAAGTTAAAAAATTATTGATTTTTAAATGAGTATAATATAGAAAAATAGAAATAAAAAAATAATAAAAGAAAATAAAACAAGAAATTTAGCCAAAAAAATCTTCTTTTATTAATTATAAATGCAAATAAAAGGGAAAAAAGATTTGCCAACTCTGGCTTCTCTCGGACAATGGACAAAGTAAAATGTTTCATATCATGGCGTTAAAACGTATAATAATATAATAAAACATATTATTAGCACTGACGAAGATCCGGGCTTACGGATCGAAAGCTTTGCAGTAATAAATTTACGTGGTGTTTCCACAAACAAAACTCTTATTAGATGACGATGTATTTCGCCTTTCTAGCTGTGGTGTTGGATTTCGTTCTTCTTCCCTTGACCAAAATTTAGTCTATAGTTGGAATCACCCATTATTCATTAAAATACAATGGACAACTTGCATGTTAGACTAAATTTTAATCTAAGTAAAGAGAAGGGAATCAAACACAACAGTTAAACAGAACATAATGAAATTAGTAAAATTGCAACATTTGGTTGCGAAATGTTGTAAAATACAGAAAATATAGCCTTGCGAAGTTTGCACATTTTCAGTATATTTGTATTACGTACGGAAATTGTTACCACTTTCGGCTCAAAAATGGTAACAATTTCCGCACGTAATACAAACATACTGAAAATATGCAAACTTCGCAAGGCTATATTTTCTGTATTTTACAACATTTCGTAACCAAATTTTGCAATTTTACTGATTTTAATAAGTTCTTTACGGGAATTTACTTTTTTTGCCTAAATAAAAAATTAGTCTAACATGCAAGTTGTCTATTGTCAATTATAATTGATGCTTTAAAAAGTGATAGCATTTTTACAGCAATGTAAGCAAATCCTACTGAACTGCAGACATCATTTGAGTTTGTTTGCCGATTGAGAAACGTATCGAAAAATAGAAATTTTGAATGTGTATAGTCATAACGTGAAGATATAGTATATCATATCGTCACATGAAGTATAGTATATCATATATTCGTTACTTTTGAGCGCATGTTACGTAAATACATAGAGGATATTGTGTAAATTCTAAAAGTCACGTGATCGATATCTTCACTAGTGAAGATATGGGAAATATGTCACTGTGTATTTCTCAGTATCTCACTCTCTACTATATATAATAAAAAAAATTCTTCTTTTAACGAGTTTTACGATTCTGATATTTAGGTGGTGTTTTGTTCAGTCTGGAAGAAGGCGCCAGTTTTTGGAATCAATCCTTAACATGGCGAATTTTCTTTGCATCCGTTATCTCGACGTTCAGTCTGAACTGGCTGCTCTCGATATATCACGGACATAGCGGGGAATTGTCCTACCCAGGACTTATCAATTTCGGAACATTTTCAGTGAGTATAGCTAAATATTTCATTGTATCATTTTTCACATTTTCTTTTCTATAATCTTCTTCTAATTCTTCAAAAAGATAATAGTCTTTCGAGAATGCAAGAGTAAGACTTATACTCTTCGCTGAGATGTAAAGATTATATGCTTGTATGATGATTTGTTTATTTATCTCTGATGTTTTTATAGGATATTAAATATTCTGTTTACGAAATTCCGTTCTTATTGTTTATGGGATTAATAGGTAAGATTCATGTTTTCAAAATTTAAAATTTTATATCCATATGTTTTTAATAGTTGTTTTTTAAACCATCTATATGGTGTGTTGAATTTTTCAAAGGATTTTTTAAAGTTATCAAACTCTTTTCGTTGGTTCGATAAAACAAATTTGTGTGAAACCAAGAAAAGGTTGTCCAATTTCAATGATTTCTCATTTTCTATGTGTTGTGTTTTTCAGGAGGCTTGTTGGGAGCTTTATTCAATTTCATCAATCAAAAATTGACTGTTTTTAGAATGAGGTAAACTACACTTTCTTTTTTCCAGTAAAGTTAAGTTTTCCTTAAGTTATGGTACAGGGCTTGAAATAGCGGGCTGCCATTGGCCAAAAGTAGACCATATTTTAGAAATAGCAGTCAAAAACAAATCAGAACTGCCAAGTCCAAAAAATGGCAGGTGAAATTCTATAGATAAATTTGATTTCGTTTGCTTACCTCAACTCATATATACTAGATCATTTAGTTGACTAAATACGTTTATATTTGAAATGTAAATCCAAGTTTACTGTCTAGTAAAATAGACAAGTTTAAAAATAATAAAAAAATGCATATCATGAAAACATTGATTTTTACAATATGACTCATATGAGACATTGCCATTTTGGCAGTTCAATTAACAAAAATGGCAAGCTAAAATTTATTTTTCCTGCCAAAAAATTTTAGACTGGCAGGCCATATTTTTTTTTCTACTTCGATCCCCGGTTATGAACAATATTGTCAAGTTATCTACGTGCCAAATTAAATTGTTAAATGAAATGAAATACTTTATATTTCAGATACATTAAATCAGCTTGGAAGCGAGTCCTCGAAGCTGTAGTTATTGCCGCCATCACGACTTGTGCTTCATTCAACCTGATATATTATTACGACGTTTGTCAACCTAATGGCGTCAACAATATCTCCCAACCTTTACGGGTATTGTTTTGTTAATTTCATTGTTACAAGCTTTCAAACTCAGGGAAGAATCTAGCATCTTCCAATTTTTCAGCGTGTTTATTTTGACCAATACTACCAGTCTAATACGAAACTTCTGATGTTTTAAAAGTTTTTCTGCAAAGATGGTGAATACAGTTTGATGGGAACGCTTTTATTCAGAAGACCAGAGGAATCGATCAAAAGTTTATTCCATACAACACAAGGTGATTGTCCAGTTTCCGATCAACAAGTGGAGGACCCTAACGGATCTCTATAGGGATAACAGTTTAGAACTGATAGAGTTATCCAGTATAAATAAAGTTAGTTTAGTTTAGGTTTCCTCCTGTAGTAACACTGGATCAATAAGGGATGACCCTTACTGGACCTCTAGGAAGAACAGTTTAGAACTGATAGAGATATCCAGTATAAATAAAGTTAGTTTAGTTTAGGTTTTGTTTCGTACTAATATTGGATCAAGAAAGGATGGCTGAGCTACCCAGTCCCCTTAAACAAACAACAATTTATTGCAATAAACAAGTTATTTTTATTTTTCAGCGACTTACACATTCCAAGTCCTGGCATTATTTTTCCCAGTCTACTTCCTGCTCGCGACGTGGACTTACGGAGCATTCGTACCCAGTGGTCTGTTCGTGCCGTGTATATTGACTGGAGCAGCCTGGGGCCGACTCTTTGCTGTTTTCCTATCTACGTTTTTGCCAAATGAATTTGTTTCTGATACCTGTTTGTATGCTGTCGTCGGGGCTGCCGCTTTTCTAGGTATGCAATTGGTCAGGGATGGATTTACTGGGGTGTGCACCCCCCCCCCCCTCCCCTCTAGCCCTGGCCAGAGGGGGTGCAGGGGGGGTGCTATTTTTCGTGATAAAGCAAAAAAGACAAAATGAGATACAGTAATTTGAGTAATAACATGATAATAAGTGAACTGTGAACAACAATTACAATTCAAATACAGTAGTTGATGGGCGGGCGGCACACATGACCAACACAACTCTGCAGTCGGCACCAGAGCACCCCCTACCAGATCATGCTGGATCCATCCCTGCAATTGGTACACAACTTATATTGCACATGTAAAAATCTCACATCTTGTAGCAAGTCTGCCAACAAGCCGTCAACAAGTTGTGCTCGCACTGCTTATCACAAGTTGTCAACAAACATGGAACAGCTTGTAACAACCTTGTTGATATTATCAGACTTGTTGCAAGGTTGTTTCAACAAGTCCGATGCAGTCATGATGTAACAGTATTGTTATAACTTTGTGTTGTCAACCTTGTAGCATTTTTCTCATTACTGTATCAGATTTGTTAGGACAAACTTGTAACAAGTCTAATAATGGCATCACGTTTGTTACAAATTGTTCATAGTAACAGCTTGTAACAATATTGTTATATGATGAATGTATCGGACTTGTTGGAACAACCTTGCAACAAGTCTGATAATATCAACAAGGTTGTTACAAGTTGTTAACAGGTTGTTCCAAACTTGTTGACAACTTGGGACAAGCAGTGCGAACACAACTTGTTGACGGCTTGTTGGCAGACTTGCTACAGTCCTCGGCTTCCCCTCGGGCTTGATCAAATAGACCTTTCCCCTTATGAGTGAAATTTTGATCTAGACAAGCCTGGACAAAAATTTCATCACAGCTTGAAAGAGCATCACAAAATTAGTAATATTCCGAAGTTTCGTTGCAAAATATTGTAAAATGCGATTAATATAGCCTTGCGAAGTTTGCCGTTTTTCAGTCATTTTGCATTACAAATGGGAAATTGATAATCAGTTTGATCATCTGATTATCAAATTCCCGTTTGTAATACAAAATTACTGAAAAACGACAAACTTCGCAAGGCTATATTAACCGCATTTACAACATTTCGCAACGAAACTTCGGAATATTACTAATTTTGTGATGCTCTTTCAAGCTGTGATGAAATTTTTGTCCAGACTTGTCTAGATCAAAATTTCACTCAAAAGGGGAAAGGTCTATTGCGCGGACTTGAAGTCTAGTGACTCTAGTCCAGTCCTCATAGACAGATTCCAAATATTACTTCCAGGTGGCGTGGTTCGTATGACAATAAGTTTGACGGTAATTTTAATGGAAGCGACAAGAAACATCACGTATGGTTTACCCATGATGCTGGTGATTATGGTGGCTAAATGGGTTGGAGATCTCTTCAATGAGGTGGGGCAGATACATATTATTATCTGATTTTGTATACTTATCTTTACTGTTGCATAGACCATGTACCTGGGGGCTTGGGCCGACCTACGCACGCAAAAATATCACATCTTGTACCCAAAACGCACAAATTGTTACAAGTCCGCAAACAAGTTGTTACAAATCTGTCCACAAGCTGTCGACAAGTTGTGTTCGCACTGCTTGTTCCAAGTTGTTGGAACAAGTTTGGAACAAGCGGTTAATAACTTGTAGCAAGCTTGATGCAATCAGACTTGTTACAAGGTTGTTCTAACAAGTCTGATACAGTGATGATATGACAAGAATGTTACAAGGTTGACGACACAAGGTTGTGACTAAATTGCTATATCATGACTGTATCGGACTTGTTGGAACAACCTTGCAACAAGTCCGATAATATTAACAAGGTTGTTGCAAGTTGTTAACAAGTTGTTCCATACTTGTTGACAACTTGGGACAAGCAGTGCGAACACAACTTGTTGACCGCTTGTTGGCAGACTTGCTACAAGATGCGAGATTTTTGCGTGTGTAGCAAGTCTGCAAAAAAGCCGTCAACAAATTGTGTTCGCACTGCTTGTCCCAACTTTTGAACAAGCTGCTAACAACTTGTAACAACCTTGTTGATATTATCAGACTTGTTGCAAGGTTGTTCCAACAAGTCTGATCAGTCATGATATAACAATATTGTTACAACCTTGTGTCGTCAACCTTGTAACATTCGTGTTATATCATGACTGTATCAGACTTGTTAGAACAACCTTGTAACAAGTCTGATAATGTCATCAAGCTTGTTACAAGTTATTAACAGCTTGTTCCAAACTTGTTACAACAACTAACAACTTGTCAGCAGGATGTGTTTACACTGCTTGTTCCCAGCTTGTGGACAACTTACTACAAGGTTGTTGATTCAACAGACTTGCTACAAATTGTTGCAACAACTTGTTATCATCCTGCAGGTCAACAAGTTGTGAGTGACAACCTTATAGCAACTTGATAAAATAACAGCATTGTTACAACTTGTTGACAAGCTTGCTACAAGCCTGTTGCGAACACATCTTGTTGACAAGTTGTGAGATTTTCACGTGCGTATGTACCCATCCACCAACATACCTAGCCAACCACCTTTCAATTACATGGTTATATACCCACGTTTCTTACAATTCTTAGGGTTTGTATGACATACATATTAGGCTAAGCCGAGTTCCAATCTTGGGTTGGGATCCACCACAAATGGTCGAGGGATTAAATGCCAGGCAAGTTTTTTAAGATACAACTTTTGGTTTTTCAATGAAAATGATTTTTAACAGATTCTGTCATTTGTTTAGAAATATTATGAATAAACCTGTTTGCTGCATGAATTTAGTGGAAAATGTAAGCACCGGTAATTTAATCAGGGCTCAAAATAACGGGAGATAGGTCTCCGGTCAAAATGACTGGCCAACGTGATTTTAGCTTGGTCAAAATCTGTTTTTGACCGGTCATTGATACGCTTACACTAACAGTGAAACAAATTATTAGAAACGTGTTTCGATACATCATAGTTTCATGTTTTAATTCAAGATATCAGCAATCACATTGGAAGGCATGAAAATGTGGCCGGTCAAAATGACCGGTGAGGTAAAAAAGTGACCGGTCAAGAGGCATTTTTGGCCGGTCATTGTTCGTTGACCCGCCGTTATTTTGAGCCCTGACTTTAATGTGTATCAGACACGAGGCTTAGTTGCACAAGTCAGGATACAGTGTCTCATGAATTATGAGTGAGTTTGTTTTTTTTCCGCCCTGCTAATAGCGTTTTTCTTGTGACATTGAAGGTTGGTCGTGTTATTGACCTTCTTAAAACAACCACACATAATGGCTTCCCTGTTGTTGATCCATTACCGGAGGTAGAAATTTTATATTTCTATAGATCTTTTTAAAAAGTCTGCCTTGTGACGTAGTTTGTGGATAAAGGAAAACCCCGCACAGACATTTGGCTTGCCTGATTGGCCAAATGATCGTATTTATCCGCAAACTACGTCATGAGGCAGACTTTTCAAAAAGGTCTATTGCGTGCTTGTTATACTCCATGGATGCACCCAGTCAGGTCTGGTAGGGCGGGGGGATGCCTTTTTTCGGCATAGCTTATACCCACGATTTGTGGCTATAAGGTATACCAGAGATTCTGGTCATATGGATGCCTGTTTCGGCATACCTTGCAGCCACAGTTTATGGCTATAAGGTACAGTATACCAGGGATTCGGGTCATGGATGCCTGTTTCGGCATACCTTGCAGCCACAGTTTATGGCTATAAGGTATACCAGGGATTCTGGTCATGGATGCCTGTTTCGGCATACCTTGCAGGCACGGTTTATGGCTATAAGGTATACCAGGGATTCTGGTCATATGGATGCCTGTTTCGGCATACCTTGCAGCCACGGTTTATGGCTATAAGGTATACCAGGGATTCTGGTCATATGGATGCCTGTTTTCGGTATACCTTGCAGCCACGGTTTGTGGCTATACAGGGTGTATAAAAAAAAACTGAACAGATTTGAAATTGCTCTCAATTTCGCAAAACACCTATTTGTATCCCGTTTTTTATATATATAGCTTCTTTGGGTACGTATAATGTAGAATAATGAAAAAAAATTCTCAAACTCAAATTTGGTGAACCAGGGGGGGGGTGTCTTTTCCAACAAACTAAAAATGGCTCGCGCACAAAATTTAAAAGTTTTAATCATATTTTGAGTTAATAGATGGAAACTTT